GTGAAACAGATCACCAGCCCAGGTTGGGTGCATGAGACAAGTGCTCGGGCCTGGTGCACTGGGAAGACCCAGAGGGATCGGGTGGAGAGGGAGGTGGGAGGGGGGACCGGGATGGGGAATACATGTAACTCCATGGCTAATTCATTTCAATGTATGACAAAAACTACTGCAATGATGTAAAGTAATTAGCCTCCAACTAATAAAAATAAATGGAAAAAAAAAAAAAAGATACTCCTTGCTCAACCTGTGAAGACGTCTTTAACAAATGGCTTCTCCTTGTCTTCGGCAGGGGCACGCGATGAAGCAGAGGGACAGTGCAATGGCAGTGAATGACAGTCCTCAAGAGTGCAGGCCTCCTGGCCCCTGGGAGCTGCAGGAAGACGCTGGTGCGCACGTGCTGTGCAGGCGGGTGGGGGTGGGGGGAGGCGAGGCCCACCGAAGGACGGGGAACCCTTTGCTCTCATTTCTCCAGCTGCATTTTGTTCTGTTTACCCACAGAAAGGAAAAAAAAAGAAAAAAATAAAAAAAAAAGTTTTCTTTCATTTGGTGGGGGACCCACGTGAATGCAACTTTCAGGCGCTATCCCTGTCGTTTCTGTCTTTTCTTCTCCCAAGTCCGCCCCGGGGTCGCAGTGGCACGTGAAACACACAAGTGTCTTCTGGTCCCTGTCTGCTTTCTCGGTTATTTCACAAAGCTGGTTGGTACAGTGATTTCTTCTTCCAAAAAAAGAGAGAGAAGGAAGGTGACTGATAAGGTGCATTTGAGGAAACATTAAACCCTCTATCAGTAGAATCCACAGAGGAAGGAGGCAGGACAGAAAGTGGGCAAAACCCTCAGAAATCGCTTGGGAAAAGGTCAGGATGATTGGTTGCAAATGGTCTTTTATTCAGGGATTCCCAAGGTCCAGCACTGTTCCATGAGGCTCTAAGGAGGAATATGAAGGCAGGGTTTAATCCGGAGCAGACCACAGAGGCATAACGAGGAAGGCGGATGGACCCTGGTCTCCTCCTTGATAACAAGACGGCAAGTGCAGTTCTTGTCTGATTTTCAGCAGAGCTCACCTGGTTCAGGAAGACTTTAACTGTGTCTTTCCCTCAGGGAGAAGTGATTCCTTGCGACACAATTCTAAGGGCACTTTCCTAGGCGTTTTAGTTGAGAGGGATACTGCTGCATTTAGAATCCAAAAAGTTTTCCTTGAACTCTTCATACATCTGCTTTCCATAAAAGGACATCTTGTTTTTACCCAAGGACTGATGACCCAGAGAGCAGATTCTCGTTTGAATTTGGAGGCAATTAGAGGCCTTGCTTGCACTTCTGGCTCCCTGGTTTGCATTTAAATGGTGTGCTTTGTTCGCGCCAAGTTCAAGACTAATTTGATGGCCGTCCTCTCCCCCAGCAGGCATGGAAGGGAAGCAGCGGGACTAATAAGCCAAGATGTCCCTGGTCCAGTGGGCACAAGGGATTAAGGGTGTGGGAAGACATCAGAGGTTGTCACAAGCATCGTCCCAGAGCCAACAGGATAGAACCGTCAGAAGGCAAGAAGCCTGCCTCCCCGGCTCTAAGAACAGTCTGCTCGTCCCTGTGGAAACTCCCATTATTTCTTGCATATCTTTTTTTTTTCCCCTGGTTTTTGTTTTTTAATTTTTTACACAGGTATGTTGGTTTCTGCCGTACAACAGCAGGAATCAGCCGTAATTACACATATACCCCTCCCTCTGGCGCCCCCATCCCCTGCCCCCATCCAGCCATCTGGGTCATCACAGAGGCCAGACTGAGCTCGCTCTACCATGCTTCCCTTCCGCTGTCCGTTTTGCACACAGTACTGTATATATGTTGATGACACTTTCTCCATTTGTCTCCCCCCCTCCATCTTCTTAAACCCATCTTCCTTATGAGGGCTTTAGGGCTTTCCTTATGTAAGTTAACTGCATATTTTTTTCTTAGTAGAGGGAGAAAAGGAATGGATCAAATGAAGCATTTCTACAATAATCAGGGGCTCTGCTTTCTACGTATTTCATGGAGGTCTTCAGTTTTGCTCCTTCCTCTAAAGAAAATTTCACTTTCTTGTCTTCCTATGAATTTGGTTTTGGCTTTTCTGAACTTGTTGCCTTATTTGATGGCTTATTTGGTCTCTTGGAATAATAAGTTGTATTTCTACCTGTGTAATATGTTTTAACACCCCCTGTTGTTGTTGTTGTGTTGTTGTTTTTAAAGTGGCTCATCAACCTAGCAGTGACATTTAAGTGACATCATGATTCGGGAACAGCTGTTTCCCCTCTGCCATTATCCCCCAGTTTGATACAGAAACTATATGTGCTCTACTCCCATTAGACACTGCTTTCTAGAAAACCAAGGAAAAGCCTCATTTTAACTAATCCAAGCAATGATGCCACGGGAATACAGACAGCTTCTATATTTCACATCATCTGCATGACTTAGCTGACAGGCGCCATCGTTCTTGTGAAGTGTTGGGTTGGCCAACACGCTCATTCAGGTTTTCCATATGATGTAACAGAAGAACCTGAACGCACTTCTTGGCCAACCTAGCACTTGACAAGAGCAATCTACCAGGAGGACATATTTCTTGTGACACCCAAGCGTGAGTGCTACTCACGCTGAGTGATGAGTAACAGTGGAAAACAACGTGAGGTGGCAAGAAGGATGGGGATTTTTTTTTTTTTTTAATGGACAAAGATCTAATGTCTCTGGCAGGAGCAGTAGGGATCAGAAGTGTTTCTGTCCTGGTGTTCCTTTTGATGTCAATGACAGCCATTCATTCAGTTTTCAATGTGGGTGGGTATCAGTGAGATGAAGGAGTTCTCTGCCTGAAAATTATAGAAAAAGAAAATGGGCTCTGCGTCTGGGACACTGAGTGAGGAGTAAAGACCATCAACCCTGCTCCCGAATTGGTTTACACTCCACTTTATGATTAGACTGTGTTTTCATTTTTTCCCTCATTCTGCTTTTGGGTTGCTGTTTGGCTAGAAGATTTTATGCTTTAGAACAAACAATGAAGCACATTTCTATTTCAATAGTAAAACATTAAAAATCGAGCTTTTGGCCACACGGAAGATACCCACAACGCAGGAAACCTTTATCTCACTGGTGCTGTCATTGTACAAACTGTGCAATGGAAAATTTGCCAGACTGATTCATTCTCCGAACATGAATTCTGGACGTCAGTTTCCAACCACACTCAAGCCAGGCTAGATGACTCAAGGGTTTATAGGAAGGAGAGTAGGAGGCAAATAGCCCCTTATTTAAGTCCTGTTTGCATACAGAGGATGGAGGTGGGCTTTCCACATAATAGCTCTATTTAAAAAAGTACTCATTGTAGGAGAGACAAAGGGTCTGTCCTCTAGCTGGTAACTACTCAAGTGATGGACAAGCCTTCCTTCACAAAAGCTTACAAAGAAGGCATCTGAAACACAGTCTGTGACATTGGGTCACCTATTAGTCATCGCAGCTAATTGTACATCTTTCTATGAAACACTGAAAAGCCTCTTTGTGAATTAATACAGCTCTGCTTGATGCACTCGATTTGAAATGACATTTTTCTGTATGTGGTGCATGTCAGCTTTGCTTTGAAAAATAACAAAGTTAGCAGAATATGTTCAATATATTTTCTTGGGGAATAGGGTTTTTATCATACAATTCATTAAGGATTTGCCTTACCCTGACATTTGTGATATAAAGGAAAATCAGAAAAAAAGTAATTTTCTTGATCAAGATATGTTTTTACTTAATGCAAATAAATGTAGTCTGTTGCTTGCAAGGAAAAAAAAAATGTCTTCTGAGATCTGGTATAAACTGCTAAATAGAATAATACGTGCCTCTTTTGTTAAACCAGCATTTCAGCACTGGACTGCTTCTGAATATGTTTGTTTCTTTTCATCTGTGCCATACACTAAGAAACTTAAACAACTGTTGCCTTCATGCTATATTTGTTAGAATATGAATAAAATTTGTTTGAGAGGATAAGGTGGAATTATCCGTGTTTTGTGAAATTTGTTCCTTGACTGTGAGCAGTTAATGACTCAAAACTGTTCATTTAACAGCAGATATCTGGTTGCAAATATGTGTATTTAAAATTGCCCCTGCAAGTCAACTGTAACTTTCCCTACTAAGACTGATCAATGGTGTGCCCATGTTTTTCAAAATTAAACTATACAGAAGTTTGAACAGATATAAAACCTAATGTATAATTTTTCTCTGAATGCTAAGTAGTTAATTACCCTAGCAACAGCCTCTGAGGTGAAGATATACATTGTTGAGATAAAGCCAATGGTTCCATGAACACTGGCCCATCCTATAAAACCCATCGTCCACTACTGGAATTCTTTTTGAGCATCTTTTATGTCACATAGCCAGCCTGGCTATGTGACAGCTGAAGCCACTGTCCTCCTCAGCCTCCTGTTGACAGAATTATGACTGAATTACAAAATTGTTAAGACACTGGCAATGGAGCTGCAAAAACCGCTGTGGGAGAAACTCAAAGTTCTTTTGAAAATGGAAATCTGTATTCCATCACAGTTAATTCCCTCTATCTCCTACAGAGGAAGAGCTATCAAGTGTATTGTTCTAGAAGGCAATAAAGAAGCCTGGCCCTTTTATCCAACAAAGCCAGAAGCTTAATAGTTAAAGCAGAATCAGGTTTTTTAACCTGCTGTACCAAAGGGACATTTTTTCAGTAATAAACGAGTCTGATGAGAAGAAAACTGTAGGCAGGACAGTCTTCTCTCACAATGGGCAGCCCCAACACAAATACTTCAAAGTGGCAGACAGATGATTTGACATGATGCTAGCTTGGCCAAATACAGTTTGTTGTGTTTTTAAATCTACATTCAATTTTTCATCTCTTTGCCCATCACTTATGTTTCTCCCCCACTTCTGCCCCTTTACCTTTAAAAGATGTCACTGAAGAGCATTTAAGTTTGCTGGTTTAAGTTTAGCTTAAGTTTAGTCTCCAGACTAAAAGGGTAATGATACTCGTTTATACTGTTCTTGCCAGAATTCTGGCCCAGCGTGGGGCTTTGAGAAACAAATACCTCCGTTCCTTGGTTTGAAAGATAGAAATACTAATGCATCCCCTGAATTCTCTTCCAAATTTAAACATGAATAAAATGCCAAGATATTCTACTCTGCCATTGAGAAATGCACTTTGTAAATTGTTTGCCTTATATTCTACTTGAAACTGTAGGCAAATATCCCTTTTTCCAGCTCAAGACTCTCCACCAAATGAATAAACAGTCCTTACCTCTGAGTAAGAAATATGAAATCCTTTCTACTAAAATCAGATTGATTATATTATTTGCAGTTGAAGATGGAGAAGCTCTATTCAGTGAGCAAAAACAAGACCGGGAGCTGACTGTGGCTCAGATCATCAACTCCTTATGACTGGAAGATCAAACCAATCAATCCTAAAGAAAGTCAACCCTGAATATTCATTGGAAGGACTGATGCTGAAGCAGAAGCTCTAATACTTTGGCCTCCTGATGTGAAGAGATGACTCACTGGAAAAGACTCTGATGCTTGGAAAGATTGAAGGCAAAAGGAGGAGAGGGTGGCAGATGATCAGATGATTAGACAGCATTACCAACTCAATGGATAAGAATTTCAGTAGACTGGGAGATAGTGAAGGACAGGGTAGCCTGGCACGCTTCATCCACGATGTCCCAAAGAGTCAGACACCACTTAGTAAGTGAACAATGAACAACCTTTGGGTAGGAAATATGAAATCCTTTCTACTGAAGTTGACTTAAATTTTGCCCCGAAGGACCCATGAGGATGAGAGAAAACTATTTTATAAAATTTAGAGAAATGGGCAGTTTGCCATTTGCACACAAAATACTAACACTTGGTATAAATCTTTTTAAGCAGTTGTTTCTCTGGTAAGAGAGTGAATCTGTGACTAAATCAGAAAGGGGTATAGCCCTATTTCTTGGGTAAGGTGCACAGGAGGAATAGATTTAGAAGGGGATAGAGAATTATACCAACAGGCACTTCCCTTCACTGGGGGAGGAGAACTCTTCCTTGCCCCACTGAAACTGGACTTTATATAACTTGCTCCAGCCAATGATATGTGGGCAGAGATAGCATATGTCATTTCAGGCAGAAGCTTAGATTCATGCTCATTTTTCTCCTCTACCAAAATGACCAGCAACTTCTCAGATAGGCTGCACTGTCAGCCTAGAACCTGGAGTGAAGAAGATGTGAAGTTGAGTTTCAGCCAAGTTACACTGAGAAGGTGACAGGAGTAAGAAGGAAATCTGTGTTTTGAGATCTGGGCACCATATCACCCAAGCCTAACCTAGCCTATTCTAACTGATATGTCCGCCATTAAAGCCTTTAAATAAAAAGTCCAAGGAGTGGCATGATCTCACTTTCCAGTCTCATCTGTCAAACTGGCTCCCAAAACTGGCCATACAATGACCTTCTATCCATTCCCAGAACTGGCTAAATTCATGTTCATCCTTGAGATCTCAGCGGTGATGTCACTTCTTAGAGGTGCCTTCCCCAACTACCTTATATCAAAGGAGATCCCCCTTCCCAATGTCCTTACCTACTGAACGCCATATTTGCTACGTCAGAACAGTTAGAATTATTTGTAATTGTTTGTTTACATGAGAGAAACAAATATTCCTATGTCTCAACTCAGGTGGGCAATATAATGCAACTTTCTCCCACACACACCCCCCAAAAATATGAGCTTGCCTTATTTCTAAGCTTCTATCCAACTGGTTAGAGGTGATCGTGGGAAAAGAATTTAATTGCTCAATAAAAGGTATCTCAGTCTTTTTCAGTTTAAAATGCTAATTTAGGGATAAATATTTAGTGAGATCCGAGGTTTAAATGCCTTCCTGAAGCCACTTCTTGACACCAAAATTACTGTGCCCTACCCAACTGACCCATGTAGATGAAGGCCTTTCTTCTAATCACTATGCAATAAAACTAGCAACAAAAACTGAATTTTAACCATGATAAAATATCTTAAATGCAGTTTCCTGATTTTTAAGACTTGCTGGAAACAGATACCATGATTCTATACATAGAAAAATCCTAAAGATGCTATGAGAAACTACTAGAGCTCATCAGTGAATTCAGTAAAGTTGCAGGATACAAAAGTAATACACAGAAATCTCTGTATTCCTATACACTAACAATAGAAGATTAGAAACAATCCCACTTACCATTGCATCAAAAAGAACAAAATACCTAGGAATAAACCTACCTAAGGTGGCAAAAGACCTGAACTGTGAAAACTATAAGATGCTGATGAAAGAAATTGAAGATGACACAAACAGATGCAAAGATATACCATGTTCTTCTATTGGAAGACTCAATATTGTCAAAAATGACTATACTACTCAAGGCATTCTACAGATTCAGTGAAATCCCTGTCAAATTACCAATGGCATTTTTCACAGAATTAGAACAAACAATCTTATTCATGGAAGCACAAAAGACCAAACAATCTTGAAAAAGAAAAACAGCTGGAGAATCAGGCTCCCTAACTTTAGACCATACTACAATGCTACAATCTTTAAAACAGTGTGGTACTGGCACAAAAACAGAAATATAGATCAATGGAACACCATGCAAAGTCCAGAAACAAACCCACACACCTATGGTCAATTAATCTAAGAGGAAAGAAGACTGTACAATGAAGAAAAGACATTCTCTTCAATAAATGGTGCCAGAAAAACTACAGAAACCCATAAAAAATGAAATTAGAACATTTTTTGACACCACACACAACAATAAACTCAAAATGGATTAAAGACCTTAACTATAAAATTCTTAGAGCAAAACATAGGCAGAAATTGTTGTTTAGTTACTAAGTCATGTCTGACTCTCTGCAACCCCACAGACTGCAGCATGTCAGGAAAGGGAGTCCTCCTACACTGTTGGTGGGAATGTGGATTGGTACAGTCACTACTAAGAACAGCATGGAGATTCCTTGAGACACTAAAAATAGAACTACCATATGATCCGGGAATCCCACTCCTGGGCATACATCCAGAGAGGAACATGGTTCAAAAGGATACATGCACTCCAGTGTTCATTGCAGCACTAACTACAATAGTCAAGACAGGGAAGCAACCTAAGTGTCCATCGACAGATTAATGAATGAAGCAGATGTGGTATATATATACAATGGAATATTACTCAGCCATAAAAAGAATGAAATAATGCCATTTGCAGTAACATGGATGGACCTGGAGATTATCATTACTAAGCTAAGTAAGTCAGACAGAAAAAGACAAATATATGATATCACTTATATGTGGAATCTAAAAAAAAAGATACAAATGAACTTATTTAAAACAGAAAGACTCACAGACTAGAGAATGAACTTATGATCACCAGGGGGAAATCAGGAGAAATAGATTGGGAGTTTGGGGTTGATATGTACACATTGCTATATTTAAAATAGATAACCAATAGGACCTATTGTATAGCACATGGAACTCTGCTAAATACTCTGTAATAACCTAATTGAGAAAAGAATTTGAAAAAGAATAGATACATGTACAACTGAATCACTTTGCCATATACCTGAAACTAGAACAACATTGTTAATCAACTATGTGCCAATAGAAAAGTTTTTTTAAAAAATTTAAGAGTTGCTAAAAAAAATAAAAAGCAATTTCCTAAATACTTTGTCAAGGAGGATATCAAGAATAAAATGATGGACTATTTAGAATATAAAAACAAACACTAAATATACAAAATCTAGGATAAAACTAAAAGCTATACTTAGGGAAAATTCAGTCTGAAATGTTCTAATCACTTAAAATAGTAAAAAAGGAGAAAACAAAAGCATTCAAATTTAGATTTTAGAAAACAATCCAAAGAAAGTGAGGAATACATACAAGCAAAATGTTAAAATAAATCTATTGGTTCTTTGAAGAGACATTAAAATACATAAATTTTCAGCAACTATCACAAGTAATTTCAAAAGGATAGCAACATAGGAAATTTAAG